GTGCGGGAGGAGAAGAGTGGAGGGTGAGACGAACAATGCAACCCCCCCCCCTGGGAACTGGGGCGATTTGTGGAGCCTGGTGAAGAGAGACGGAGACTTTGACAGCTGTCAAAGTGGCTGTCAAAGCTGGAGAATATAAAGAGGACTTTGTTATGAGGACCTTGCTGGTTAATTTTGTTACAATTTGCTATAATATGGATATAAACTGTTGGAAAATAAGCAACAATTTGACTTTTGGATTAGAGGATACAAAGTTATTACAATCCCCTCTAGGGGTTTCGGGATACTACAAGAACGGTCGTAAGTGGAAAAATACCCTGGGATTCGCACAGGATTTGTTATCTTCTGGGAAAGCTGCAAAACTGAAAGAGTATTTTGTCTACAGAGGAAGACAATGGAATTTTTTATTGAAGAAAGGAAGGGACTGGACGTAAGTTTTTGTTCCTGAATAACAAACCTCTGCAGAGACACTAGATTTCTGAATTAGAAAGTTTTAGCAGCTGAACAGGACAAGAAACCTGAGAAAGTGAGGAATAAGAAGAATAAAGGACTGATTACGACACGGAAAGAACAACGGGAGGAGTGGTAAAGATCAAGGAAATTAAAGGCCTTTGTTAGATTGGATATTTGAAGTCAAATATTATTTAAATTAATAAACTAAAAGAAAACCGGCAAGATGGAATCGGGGAGAAATCTGGTCATGAAATGAGACTTCCAAGCTGATAATGTATAGACTGATGGATATGGGGAATTCAAACCGGGGAAGGGGGGGGGGAGATTTGAAATCCAAAGGCTGTGTAACCATTTTTTGAATTTTTTTATATCTCTTATTTTCTATTTCTTTACATAACTTACGCATGTTATTTTACTTTGATCGGACGTGTTTAAAAAAAAGGGAATTTGTGGAAGGAACTGGGGTGGATCTTGGGGAAAATCTTTTTTCTTTGTCTGTTAATGATGTGGGACGGTGGTAAGATTTGTACAATTCAATCTGGATAGTGGGTTAAACAAATTAAGCTTTAAATGGGGAGTGAGAGCTTGTAGAACCAAATTAAGGAAAGGGGAATACAATTGGGGGGGGGGAGGGGGGGAGTCCTAGAAAGTAGGGAATGAAAGTAAGGTTTTTAAATATCTTCTTTCTTTTGTCTTTTTTCTCTGTATTTTTATATTTTTGGAAACTTTAATAAATATGATTTAAAAAAAAAAAAAAAAAAGAGATCTGCAGATGAAGTGTAGTATACAAATTTTAAAAATAAACAAGAAAAAGCTGTTTGCCCAGCATTCCCAAATCAATTCTTCCTTTCCCTTTTACTGTGGTACCTCGGGTTACAAACACCTCGGGTTACAGACTCCACTAACCCGGAAGTAGTACCTCAGGTTAAGAACTTTGCTTCAGGATGAGGACAGTAATCGCGCGACGGCAGCGGGAGGCCCCATTGGCTAAAGTGGTACCTCAGGTTAAGAATGGTTTCAGGTTAAGAACAGATCTCTGGAACGAATTAAGTTCGTAACCAGAGGTACCATTGTACTCTCTTTTTAAGCCTACTGCCTGCATTACGATGCAATAAGAAACTATGGCTACTTGTTATATGAATGAAACTCAGGCTTATGATGACCAGCCTCATCCAGCACAGCTACCAGGCAATTATAAATACTATAGAATCATAGAATTTGAATTTTTTACGTTTTTGATTTGATTAGAGTTTCCAACCTTTGTGGGCCCAGGGCACATTTGGAAGTCAGAGGAACTATAGTAAGCACCTTGAAAATACAATTTTGCTGAAGAAAAGCTGGTGATGCCAAACCCTCCCTAAAAATAACCGAGGCCAAACTTATATACCTCCAAAAGCAAATAAAACACAGTGGAAAAGATAGGCAACCCTCACAATCAAACAATAGCCAATAATATATATTTTTTATTTTTTTTAAAATGTGATTGGCAGGGTGCCTTGGCAAGCATCACAGAACGTGTATGAAAGAGGCAATGACTCAACCACTCCTTCAAAAATCTATCCATTGGTTTCTGACAACTACCAACAGGTCTCAGTTACCTCCTTTTGGTAGAAGGTGGTACTCTTGGATGAAACCGATTATCTTGACCCCTTTCAGTCTGGGTTCAGGTCTGGTTAGGAGACTGAAGTAGCCTTCGTCATCCTATTTATTGGGAGGACAGAGGGTGTGTGATCCTGCTTATTCTTACTTAATCTCTCAACCGCTTCTCCTAACATTCACCATGGTATCCTCCTGAACAGAGACTGTGAGCTGGACACTGGAAGCACTGGTTTACAGTGGTTCTGAATCTACTTCTGGGACCTGTTTCAGAGAACAGTACTGGGTGATTATCCCTTATCTCCCTGATAGCTGGTGCCACAGGGTACCATCTTGTCTCCACTGAATCAATGAATAAATAAATAAATATTTTTTAAAAATAATTTACTGTCCCATTCCAAGACTGAGACATTCCTAGATATAATAAATATTATTTGCTATCAGGCATGTTGAACGCCAATGGTCTGGATATCGTTGTGCCTCTCTATCTAATAAAAAGTAGGATATCGCACAGAGTCACCAGATTTTCAGCTTCTGCTCTGAGGACGGGGAGGAGCTAAAGTGGTTGACATCAACGGTGTCAACCAAGAAAACATTTGTGTAAAGTGGCATGGAACTTATTTGCAAAACTATGAACAGAAAAGCTGCGACTTCTCCCAAACACTGTACAGCTTATAATGTTCAAGGAAACTTTTGAGTATTGTGGTGCCCGTACTGACAGGGATCTTTTAAGAAACCTTCCCTCTTAATTTTACCAGCCCTTCTTTATTCTTTATATAAATGAGGTGCATCCTGTGACCAAACAAAGCTACATGACTGAGAGGTAATGTTTTAAAAATCCCAGCTTGCTAGTGCTTCAGATTCTCTACTGCCAGTGACAGCAGGGGGCTGGGGGGAGAGAGAAACACATTCATTCCATGATGAAGAACTGACGGAAAATGCTAATAACATTCTCAAAGGGTTAACGATGCCGAACTGATTGGCACTAAAAAACTAGATTTTCATTTGGTGCGGTGACAGAAGAGCTCTGCCACCCTCCATGAACGGTCATGCCCACATTATTATAGGACAATTTAGGTCTTCTTCTTTTAAATGTCATAGCACTCTAACACGGGTGTAAATCAAAGTCAGCGAGGCAAAGGAAGACTTTCCCCCATTGTGGGGCTTCTTTTTCTTTCCTTGCCTTTTTCTTTCTTTTCCTTTCTTACAAGCTTCGTCTTGAAAACACGTTTTCTGCCACAACTGCTGATCAAGGTTCAGTGAATGAGTCAGAAGAACTTCCCAGCACATAGAACCGGAAAACAAAAATTGTGGCAGCTTTTAAGGGACACAGTGATATTTCCTTAAGGAAACTGGGAGAGGAGGCTAATTCAAGGGGAACCTCTCTTTGAAAAGACTTCATTCATTTCACTGTGCTGCACATTCCAGGTGTGGGGAAGGGTTGCAGTTTCAGGCAGCAAGCACAACAACCAGATAGCTCTCAAGTCAAATCTCTGGCTGAAAGGAAATCAGGAAGCAGGTGATGGGTAAGACAACTTCTTCCAAAGATCCTGCCAGGTGGTGCAGGGCTATATGGACACAGCCTAGCCTGGTTGAAGGCAGTTTTCGCAAGGGGTGAAATCACAAAGGCATGATTCTAGCCATATTCAGGGGGTAAACTCTGTGCACGGCGTGGATGCTTTCACAGATTTAAGCCTTAATCAGTTATACCAGGGAAATCAGCAGCCTTGTAGAGCAAGCCCTGGAATAGCAATACTGAGCTTTGAAAAACTGAGCCTTTAAATATATATATCATTTATACAGTGCCATCTATGTATCCACTTTATAGCTGAAGTGGGAGATTCTGCCATCCAGATATTGCAATCTAAATGAAGGAAATATATATTCCAGGAGCACCAGGGCTATGAAAGGGTATATGTCATGGCCAGTGCTGTTATGAGCAAATTACTAGGGGTATGTGTTCCCTTTGCATGTACCCTGAATTATTGTGCGAATTGGGGGGGGGGATTCAAGAAAGGTTCTCATGTTTCTGAGTTGGATCAAGCACATCTCAAGTCAGATAAGGGCTTCCTAAGCTTCCAAGTAGCTCTGTGACCTGGGCTGCCTACAATTTGACAGGCTTAATCCATTCCAGAGGGGTTGCCATGCCTTAGAATTGCACCCACTTCTGTGAAAAGGAGAAATGGGTAAGTGATTCCCCACTGTAGTGAAGGCAGAGGTGCAGAGCTTCATTGTTGGAATATCTCATTTGGTCCTGAATAATGTACCAAATTAGAAAGACACAAACTGGCTCTGAAACCGATTGGGCTGCTTCCTAAAGCCACACATACAGATACCAGTTGAACCTTGTGGCTGGTGCACATCCAGAGGTGCTCTTATCTCAGCTGTGTTCTTAGAATTGCCTCTGGTTACTACCGCCCTACCCTATCAGTGCTGGTTTTCTTAGAAGTTACCAGTTAAATTTACATAACTAAGAGGACCACATAATTGCTTGATTTACAGATAATGGTTCAAAAAAGGGAGGTGTTCCTGTCTGTAAACAACACCACAGAAACTGACACAGTTACTCAAGACAAAAACGAAGGGGAGGGACACAAGTGGGCATTATTCATTTAAATAAGTTTATTTAGCAGATTTAGTTGGTTTTAAGGGGTAAAATGAATGCTATCCAAGAATCCCACAATATGCACTTAACTCATCCTTCTGGGATTCATTTAGGCTTTTTATGGTAGTTTAAGCTACGAGAGAGTGACCGGCCAAACGTCATTCTGGAGCTTTACTGCTAAGGGAAGAGATTTGAACCCAGGCCTCACCAGTCTTAGTCCAACATTTTAACCACTACAGCACACTGACTCTCCAGCACAGATACCAGCAGTGCAATTCAAAGTATGAAAAACCCACCTTCTTTACTTTATGCACCAGTTAAAAATGTATTTTCTTTGTTCATTTTTGGAATGGGAAGGATAGTTGAGGCAAAGATCAGTTGTAATGCGTAATTTTTAAAAAAACAGGAAGAGATGGAGTAAGGTAGGTTGCAAATTTTGCTTATTTAATAAAAGGCTTAATATTGTTTAATGGAGGCATATTGTATTGTGTATGTTTTATTTTTGGAATGTGATCTGCCCCAGGGATTCACGAAGGGCAGGACAGCAACTAAGAAAATGTTTAGGTTTGCACCCAGGGTCCCTGAATGATGCCCATGTACTTATTTAGAATGCACATTTATCAGTATGTATCCATGTAATTTGTTTCCAAAAAACTTCAAGCACTTAATTAACATGATTGTTGGAAGCAGAAACAGAGCCACGTACAAAGCAGTTTCTTATTTTAATAAACATATCATGACCGTGATATATTACCCGTTTTCCTTTTTAGACTTGATTTATCTGTCACTTTGATTTTCAGATTTGATTTATTGGTCAATTTCTTTTCAGGATTTGATTTATCAGTCAATTTGTTTTCAAGATTTGATTAAAGCACACTGCATAAGCCTTTTCGGATCTATTTCTAACTATCATAACATATATCTGCTATGGATGTTTAGGATCTTAATTTCCAAAAACTTTCTCATTTGATCATTCTTCATTCCTATCTGGAGCCCGTTCCTATTATACATGAATATAATCTGAATCGGATGAAACAACCAATTACAGTAAGACATAAAATACAGTAAGTGCAGTTTTATAATAAATTGCACACTGCGGTGTCTTAAAGAGAACCAAGAGATTTATTACAAAGCATTAACACAAACTAGGTAAAATTTCAGTTCTAGTTTCAACATTTTTATACCCTTAAATTATCTCTGAATCAGAAAATAACCAATGGAAAAGGTAAGTATTTTTTGTATCACTCCTTTGCTTTGAAAGATGCAAAAGACACAGTCCTGAATGTCAGGAGGGAAAACGGTTATTATCACAACAAATCAGATATTTGATGTAGAAGTGACCATTAACAGTGAGGCATACAACACAGTCATTTTGTGTTTCTAGACCTAGACTTCAACAACTACTCAACTATATCATGGTTTTAGAATACAGAGCAGTATTTCACCATTATTAATACAACCTCTCAATTGCCAACTGCCTTTAGCAAGACATGTGGGAGGTGAGCAGAGGAATGGTGTCTTGGCCCACTTCATAAAGTCCTTTCTCATGTAGGGATGATGGAGAAATTTGCTTTGGCTTGATTTTAATGCAAACCTACCTGGTATGCACTTCCTGAAAAAATGTGTTCTGAAACAAAATGCACCTATCCTCTGAAATCTGCACTGCAACAAATCTTGAGATACACAGCTCTCCAACCAACAATTGTGCACAAAACTGTGTAGATTAGAGAAAAGTGTGGATAAAGATGCATATATTTGTGGATATGATGTTCAGAAAAATTACTTGCAACAATGTATACATTAGGAATAATTGCATATATTAGGAGAAATGTGTACTAAAATGCTATCAAATACTTGGGAAGACTTAAAAAATGCAAACTCAAGACTGGAAAAATTAGAAACTGAGAGAAACTAATATTTACAGATATGTCCACCCCAGTGATTTTTTTCTTTAAAAAATGTTTAGGGGTACTCTCATTTTGACTTAAGAAAATCACCATTTTATAGTTCAAATTAGGAAAAATAAATACAGTAAATGGACAAAAGTACAAATGTTTAGGGGTATGTGTACCCCTGCATACCCCCAGAAAAAGCACTGCCCATCCCTATACTTGAGGCAGAGCATGATTAATCTGATTTCGCAGAAAAAGAACTGCTTGCACTGTGCCAAGTCATAGAAAGAAACCACAGCTGAGGTGTAATCCCAATTCTGTCATTCAAGTCTATCCGCTGGGAACACTAGATGACGACAGCTAGAAAGACAGAGCGACTGGGGTGGGCCGGAGGGAACGCAACATATGAGCTGGAGGGAGATAGGCAACTGAAGGAAAGGTGTTTGTTGCCCTAAAGCCTAACACACATTTTCTTATTCTACTTTAGAGGTGGCTTTCCTTTTTTGGCCTGCATTCATTTTTGGTTAACACTCCAGGGGCTCCATCCCAGTGGAATGTGTGGCCAACCCATATTCTTATATGCGCATGAATGCGCATGCACACCCAGCTCCCTCTCCTCAGCTGATTCCTTGCCCATCAAGTGAACTGATCCCTTCTCCCTGCATAAAATCAATCTGATAAATGGGAAGGGCGCAGTTTGCATCTCTATTAGGACTACTACATCATCATCATCAATATGTATTATTATTATTATTATTATTATTATTATTATTATTATTTTGGCCACCATCTCTAAAATTTATGGGGCCTTGGCCAGATCAGTTCTCCAACCCAAGGACTAACCATGTTCTATTCCGTTATGAGAAAGTGCCTGAAACACAAGAACTAATTCAGGTAGTAGGTATCAGTGATGGAGTGTTTTGACCAACATTTTGGCTCACTCTCCTCCTTGCCTGTACTGCATTGCAGTGTCAGAGTTGGTATGATCCCAAGCCCTGTCAGAGCATAGGGAACTCTGACATTCTGGCCCAGAGGTGAGAATAGCACAAACTAAGCAACCATTAATGACTTTGACTTATGTGCTTGCAATGGCAGCAAAGATGTATATAACCTTGTTTGCTGGCGATGCCACTTTACAGTGTAACCTTGTAACATTTGGAAAGTGCAAGCCAAGAGAGGAAACAAAGCACCTCTATGGGATATTGGAGAACGTACGGGAAAAGTTGTTATCGTCATCAGGGTGGAGTTCCAAAACCCTATTTTTTTTTATTTAAAAAAACACCAAACCATTCTCAACAGAAGATAGCATTGCCCTCTAGTCCCATTCTGGTACTGAGATCTGTGATTCCATGATCACTAAGTGTTGGCCTCATGCACCTAGTTATGTGAACTGTGTGGCTCTGTGCTGCTAGGAATGTTATGGAAAGAACATTGATGCAGAAATTCAGTGTCAGCCCAAGTCTGTGTGGGCACCACAGACGAGAACAGATGCCAAACTTCTCCATCCATAGCCTTTTGCTAAGAAATAGCCTTGACCCCCTCTATTCAGCACCATTAGCAACGAGTTGTGATTACTGCTGTTCTGGCCATCTGTCTATGGAAGGGAGGCCCACATGGCACTGACACAGTAATCTAGCATCGCCTGGCACTGTCAAAGACCAAGGACCCATATAACCCAGCATCATGTTCTCACATTGGCTAATCAGATGCTCACGAGCAGCTTGAAAACAGGACCTGAGCGCAACAGCACTCACACCACTTGTGATTTCCAACATACTGCCTCTGACAGTGGAGGGTGAACATAACCACCATGACTAGAAGCCACTTGGTATCCTTACCTTTCCTGAATCTGCCTAATCATCTTTTAAAGTCATCCAAGTTGATGGCCATCAGATCATTTTCAATTTTTGTAGCTACAGCAACAACTCTGACATGGCACCTTACAGGCAGTTCTGCCACTTCTCTCTCACTTTCCAAGAGAATTGCATCCCATCTGTTTGGCAAAGCAATGAACAGCAGCAAGACATTACAGAGGCTGTGGCTGAGAAATATGTAAAGAAACAGCCTCTTCCAAAATCACTTCTGTGACCTTTTTATTTTCAAGGTCTGCAAACCCAAAACAGCAGTGGCAAATTAAGCTTATTTGGGTTAACTTCATAGCCAAATTATTTAGTTCTTCAGACACAATCAGGTTATTTTTCTCATTGTTCCCTCCGTGACAAGTTCTTCACATTGTCAGTAGGTCACATTTTTGGCATCTTAGCATGAAGTAGGCAAGGGTATGTGTGCAGAGGCAAAGCTGGCCAGAAATTTTACAGAACAAAAGCCTGTCTAAGGTAGTGCATGATCTCTTGCAAATGAACCCCGGGGTGGAGGAAGTAGAGTACATTCGACTCATAGACTACCAACGCTTGAAAAATGGCCATCGAGATAAGGATGAAGGTTGCCCTAGAAAATTACACTTATCCCATTTTTAAATTTTGGTTTTCCTTGCAACCAAATCAAAATACACACTTTTCCAGTGAATGTTACAGCTGTGATCTGAAGAGCCCTCATGTTCATGCAGGAAGGGTAACCATTTGTGCATGTCACAATTTTGCAACCCTGATCCAGAGAGGTTCCCAATCACAGGAATGGCAAGGAGCTGCCAAGCAATGGAGGAGCTAGAGAAGCCCCACTGCATGTGCAGAACAATACATGTGACCTTTGGATCTCTGCCTGTTGTTCGTGTCTGTGTAATCTTCAAGGCTAGACTAATGTAATGGCCAATTTCTGGAATACCTTACCTACAGCGTAACTTGGGGATGAACAAGAAGCCACCTTGAGCCCTGTTTCCTATGCAATCCCAATGTTCAGATGGATTAGAAACCTAGACTCAAAAAAAAAAAAGCACTTGAGTTTCTCAGGATTGCGCGCTGAATACCATGATTGCCCACTCATGTACAAGGTTACTGCAGACATGCAGCAGGCTTCAAAAGGTCAACCCTAGTAAACCTACACCTGCCACTGCACCATTTTCTGTTAAAACAACAGCATGCTGGTGGTTGTTTTATTTACCAGGAGAATAGCTCTGTGAAACTCAAAAGCCTGAATGTTCTTACAAGATAGATTAGGTGATAAAATGATATAACCTTATAGCATGACATATCTCAAGGATCCTATGTCTAGCTGCTGTCGTAATCCTCAGCCACTGTTGCTGCAGTCTCTCTGTTTTCTTTTTTGCATTGAACACAGACAGTTGGGAGTCAAGCCTTGCTCAGGAAACAGCTCTATGAAAAAGATGGCTCAGCGAATCGTCTCCGACATACAATCCGCTATATTACTGTAGAGCCCACTTACTGGCGGTGGTAATGACGATGTAAGCCTTGGGGCCCAATCCAACATCCACTGAAGTCAGCGCAAAAGCACTTCTTGGCGCCAGTTGTCTTTGGATAGGATCCCAGGTCATCGAAATTGACTCAATCCTTATTTATCTTTAAAGGCAGTGATACTTCAAGCTGAATTGTCTCACAGGGGTATCTAACCCCCTCTGTATATAAATATGCGTATTGAATAATGCACACACAAATACCACTGCAAAAACCAGGTACCCTACTATCATTCAGAACTTGGTTATCCCAAACTCCTTTATCAGAAACTAAATGGTTCACAGAACTTTTTTTTTTCTTTTGCGGTAAGTACCCAGAAATCGACTTTTGTATACTGGCCTTCCTAGGGCAACACACACACACTACAATCTTATATTACAGAACTTTCAAAAGTTTTTACTGTTACAAACTTGTAATTTTCACAGGTCTGTTTTACCACATGAAAATGTGCACTGACCTTCCTATATTTAAGCCTAAGTCCTCATTGTTATTCTGAAGAGCTCTTTACTTAATTTTGGAAATGGCTTGAAGGCTTTTGGAATTTGTACACCTGCACTAGCATCCATACAGCGGCCCTTCAAAGAAAAGAGCTCACTCCAAAAGGTGCAATAGCAGCCCTCCTGTTCTAAGAACAGTGCCCTGGCTAAAATTGCTTCCACCTCCTCTGACTTTCCTAACAGATTTTTCTCCCCTTCATCTCTTTTCTATTATGCAAGCATTTCCCACAGAAAGCAAATCTGCACTCAAAGGCTTGACACAGCAGGAAACCAATACTCACACCCGGACATTCATAAATCCCCAGAAACAGATCAAAATAAATAAATCACAGTTTGTTCCTCTGCATCAGTTTAAATGCAATTTGAGCTGGGCACATTGAGATTTATTTTTGTGTGTTTTTTTAAAAAAATTAAATCTAGTTTCATTTTCCCCGAGACCATGATGCTTCATCATAGAACATGCACATAAAGCACAGATGCACTGTCCAAGATGCTACGCCATGATAATGACAGCCCTATTACCAATATTATTCCTTTTTGCTTTTATCTTGCTATATTCTTTCTTCTATTTTGAAGGTAACACAGAGGAACCCTTATTTTGCATGCACAAGATCCCAAATTCAAGCAACCCTAGGGACACACTGATAGAGTGGACAATATCAATGGCCTTACAGGGTTAGGCAGCTTTATTATCCAGCCATTCCTCCCATCCTTCAACATTATTCCCAGAGCAGTTTACACGTGTTAAAATAACATAACATAGACAAAACATGCAACAAAAACAAATGCATAAGAACTATGACCTCAAGGAACAGTATCAAACTAAGGCCATTCTTGTATACCGATAGCAAACTTAATTCAGTGAGTGATGGTCCTTGTGTAGCCAAAATGGCACCATCCACAGACAAGAGGGGGGTACCACAACATTTGCAGGCACCACAACAACAACAAAACTGCAGAGAAAAACTCTCAAGACAGAACAGCCCAAAGACAACTGAGCATTCTGAGAGGAAGCAACTTGGACTGTGGGAGTGAGGAGGCAGAAAACTAGGAAAGGAAAGGATTCTCTAGGAAGACACAATGGCTGGCTATAACCCTGAAGAGGAGCACTGCGTGCAAAAACTTGTTGTTTCAGGTTCATCTTGTTTAAGTTTAAAAAGCTGAAAAAACAGAAGGGTCTTCACCAAACACTGGAGTGGCCTCAGCATAGGCACCAGGCAAGCCTCCTGGAAGAGGACATTCCAGACCATCTTAAAAATGCAGGGCTATAGTTTGTTTATATAATTTGTATACCACCCTTCATCCTAAGATCACAGGGTAGTTCACAACATAAAAAAATACAATATGAGAACACAAAATGGATAGTAAATAAA